CAACTTCTTCGCAACCTTACCAAACACACCGCAGCCTCTTTTGAGGCAGCAAAACAGATAAGAAGCGGCCGCCACACGGACCTCGAGGTGTATGCAATCCGGCGTATGGCCGCAAATTTGGAAGAACCTGGCCGCAGCCGAGCTCTTCACATCCTCAACAAAGCCTTGATCTACCGCAACCTCACGCCACCTAAGCCAAACATCCCGCTGACAGTGCCCTTCTTGGCCCATGACGGCTTCACCAAGCACTGCCAACAATGGCTGCGTACCACCATCCAGCAGCACAAGCATTTCACCATTCCCCTCCACCTCCCCTCCCACAGACTGAGGGAAGCCGCCCACAAAACCCTCCGCTCCCACCTCCACAACCACCGCACATGGGAGGACACCCTCCACTCCCCGCCAGATCCAGCCGACCTCCCCTGTGCATGCGATCACCTTCGCACACTCCTGCAGGATCCCGATACCCCTACCATCAATGGCCACTACATCCTTACACTTGACCAACTCCAACTCCCTACACACCTCAGCATTTTCCTCAACGCCAATATGAACAGCACCTATTACCCAAGCAAAGCTCGTTACTTCCTCATCTTCACGACGGCCTACACCAAATGGCTCAAACTACAGGGGCTTCCACCTTCCCTAGCTCAACACCTACCGCCTTTCCTTGAACACCAATGGCGCCTTCACAACACACACCTCAAGCAGCAACCCCGTTTTACGGCCCGCCTGCTCCGTCAACTCCAAGAACATTTGGGAAAACACACATTACTCCACCATGCCGACCATGAGCTCCAACAACTCCGGCTGTTTTGCCCTCGCCAATATTTCACTGGCGCCTTGAACACCTGGCAATCCCCCGAACTTTTCGAACCACTTCCCTACATCACTGCCGTCAATATCCACGATCACCTGGCCGCCACTGTCCCCCCCATTTTGCGCACACGCTACAAGTGGGGCTTCCGAAAAGACTTCAACATTCCATACGGAGTTGTCCACCTCAAGGAGAAGAAGCACTGGCAAAAAGGCCGTACAATTATTTCATACTTCCAATCACTCAGTGGCAACTTGCTTCGCATCACCAGCCGTGCCCTTGACATCATCCTCCAACACCTCTACCCTCAACATCCCGGCCAAATGTCCATTCCCCAGCTTTGGCACCACTTTCACAGCTACCTTACCCAAACACCACCAGACATCTCACTACACGCCACCAACGATGACCTGGTCGGCTTCTTCAACTCAGTCCCACAGCACCGACTCATCGATGCAGTTCACTCCCTCGTCCACCACTGGCAACAACAGCAACCCACACACACCTTGACGGTGGATGTCCAGGCCACCGGCAATCCTTTCCACCACTCACACATTGGCAGACACCATCGGAAACACCCTACCCAACGCACCATCCAAACGTCCGACATTACCACCATCGTGGCTTTTGCCCTCAACACATGCATTTTCCGGGCTTGCAACAATACTTACAAACAAATTCGAGGGGCCGGGATTGGATCCCAGCTCTCTCCAGCCCTATGCAACGTTGCCATCACCCTCATCGAGCACTCCTGGCATCAGATCCACAACAACCTCCTTCAACACACAGACCTCCACTTTACTTACTATCGATATGTCGACAACCGCTTCATTGTCCACAACGAACATTTCCTTCAACACCCGGCTATCCAAACCCTCATCCACCACAATTTCTTTGGCGACCCAGTTGAACTCGAACCGGTGGAGGATTTTCATCTCCTCGGTTTCAACATCGACCTCCCACAACGCACCATCACCTACATGCAACCTTCCCAACCCTGGAAAATCCGGGACTCCACAACCGCCGGGAGCCAGCGCTTGGCTCTATCAGGCCTCCAATCAAGACTCCACACCATTCGAAAATACACATTCCCACCCTCCAGCGCTGACCTTGCTGCGGCTGAACTCGTCAACCTATATGTCCAAAAGGGGCATAACTACCACGCCTGCCACCGGTTTTTGAAAAAAGCGCCGAATGCGGCGACCTGTGTGTGTCCCACCCTGGACAAAGGGTCTCACCCCACCACTTTCACACAGGCAGGGGATGGAGACACCTGTATTGCTTCTCCATCAACGAAGCTGGCAATACATGGTGAGGATATCAGTTCCGGACGCGGAACTGACGTACCTGCTTTGAACACACCGACTCCAATGATCCACCCTGCTGCTGTTCGTTGGTTCCATGGTTGTTCTCATGATAGACCCCAAAACCTTTTCCGCAGACTTGCCGCTTTGCCGCCGTGCGCTTTCCGCAGTCACGTAGGAAAACCTTCTTGTTGAAACATCTACAATTGCGCTGACTTTCCACCTTACCGTTGAGCCATTCCTTTCCTCGGGAGATTGCATTAACTGAAAATCCAAGTTCGAAGTGTGTGTTTGTGGTTGTGTGTTGTGTGTATGTTTGTGGTTGTGTGTTTGTGATTGTGTCTTTGTAGTTGTGTTTGTAGTTGTGTGTTTGTGATTGTGTTTGTAGTTGCGTGTTTGTGCTTGTATTTGTGATTGTGTTTGTGATGCGTTTGTGGTTGTGTGTTTGTGGTTGTGTGGTTGTGGTTGTGTGTTTGTGGTTTTGTGTTTGTGGTTTTGTGTTTGTGATTGTGTGTTTGTAGTTGTGTTTGTAGTTGTGTTTGTAGTTGTGTGTTTGTGATTGTGGGTTTGTGATTGTGTTTGTGTTTGTGGTTGTGTGTTTGTGGTTGCGCGTTTGTGGTCGTGTGTTTGTGATTGTGTGTTTGTGGATTTTATCTGGCAAACTATCTGGTTGAGGTCCAGCGGTGCACACTGCGATCGGATCCTTGCGGTTGAGGTCCAGCGGTGCACACTGCGATCGGATCCTTGCGGTTGAGGTCCAGGCGTGCACACTGCGATCGGATCCTTGCGGTTGAGGTCCAGGGATGCACACTGCGATCGGATCCTTGCGGTTGAGGTCCAGGGGTGCACACTGCGAGGGGATCCTTGCGGTTGAGGTCCAGGGGTGCACACTGCGATCTGGAGCTGGCCAGACAAGATCGGCGAAGCAGATTGGCGATGAAGATTGGCGAGGAAGGAAGCAAGGAGAAAGGAGGAAGGAGGAGGACGAGGAGGCGGCGGAGGCGGAGGCGGAGGAAGAACAACTGTGATAAAATCTAACAACCCTCACCTGGCAGGTGGGAAAAAACAACAACATCGTCGCCAAGCTCTTGATTATCAGCCTTTGCTGGGTCCCAAATCCTGGCATCTGCCTGGTTTCTGAGAATGCCATCTGTACACGACATGTACACCTCTCAGAGTAAATCGAGCAATCACCCTATTAAGGGTGTGAAATTCAATTCAATGGAGCAAAGCTTGCATTGATCCCGCTTGTCACACTTCGGCTGCGAAGCGATGCCAACCACCGCACTTCGTTGCAGAGTGACTCCGGATCAACGATCCCCTGCACCCCCTGCACCAGCCCTTGCTGGCAGACGGCAAAACCGATGCACGCATCACTAGCTCGCGGTGCTTGGTGCCGGGGTCTGTGCACCCCGCAGCCTCACAAAAATGAATGTGTCAATGTTTGTCCACCAAACATCTGCACAAGAAGTCAATGTTCACAATCATCAGAAAACCCGAAAAGCTGTGAAGCGTCATCGACTCCAGTTTTGCTTCGGGGCATGCCCGCAAAAACATCCAGCGGAGACTTGGGTTTTTCAGATTGTCCTTGCTCGAACGCATGCGCAAAGGTGCTCACAGGGTTGAAGCTCCTCAGCCGAATCACTCTGCAAAGGACCAACTCACCTGTCTCCACCATGCCGAGTGTCGACTGGGAGCTCTCCTGCTTTTTTAGCATCTTACCTCAACTTTTCGCTCACTTCAGCTAGGTGCCACAAAGGGGACATGGAACAAACAGGATGGCCCACTTCCCTGAAAAGCAGGAGCAGGGTCTGACAGATCTTGCTCCAAGCTGCTGACGGCCTTCTCCCCACTTCCTCGGTGCGGTATGCTCAGTCAGATTTCGAGAAGTCCTGAGGCACGTGATGTGCTGCAGCCATGCTGCTGATCATTGTGGAGACGTCCTTCATGGCTGAGCTAGCAGCATCATTTAAGTCCTCATACACATGGTAGAACACCCAGGAAATCTGGGATCTGCACAACTCAAGTATTGAGCACCATGGCATTGACACGCTGACCACAGCCAGTCCAAGATAGCCGAGAAGCTGTCCCTGCAGCAGTTCCAGGGGCTGCTCCTGTGAGGGCATCTATCTTCCGGGTTCTACACTGGTGCAGTTGATTCTGCAAACTGTGTTGGGCCCATTTGTGGAAGAAGAACTGTCCTGGTGCAGGCTGTTCCGGCTTCTCATTCTCTAAGGCCTCGCCTTGGTACCAAAAACGGACGGAAGGCACGTGACAACTTCTCATCTTCATGACATGTCACATCAGGTCACAGCACCAACAACTGCAGCTCAAAAACCCATGGCTGCAAGGACGGTGCTTACATTGCTCCCCACGTCCCTCTCACCTTCGCAGCTCCGCAGGGAGACCAAATCCAACTCCCGGCTGAAAGAAAAGGATTGACTAACCAGAACAAGAACATGAACGGGTAGAAAGTAATAAGACCGGGGGGGTAGGCCGCTAGTAGAGGTTAGTCGAGGTAGCTAGGTAGCTAGTAAAAGAGGGAGCTAGTACTAGTACCTACAAGTAAGCTACTAGTATGGACGCCGGATAGCTCACGCTTCTTCAAGGAAGCTCCCCCCCCGCCCTAAAGGCGGCGGGGAAGCTTCCTTGAAGAAGGGCTCGCACTAATGTATGATTTGGTTTCTAGATTTTTAGGGAAACTTAACATTAGAACTACTACTTGTACGGGGAGAAAGTACGGCCTGGAGAAATTACACAGTCACACGGAATCCAAAAGTGGAGGAAGAGAACGGGGCAGCGCAAATCTCCCAGCGTTTTGAGCAAAATTCCCGTGACTGTCATTCTGGGAAGGCCCGCCCAACACAAACTCCTCTCACCTCGGCTGAGGACTTTGGAGAAGTTGCCCACAACAGAGGCAAAGTTTCCAGCAGCCGCTTTGGCGTTTTGATTCACAAACTTCTGCACTTCCTGCAGCGCACATCACCCATGGTCCTGGATTTTGGTCTGTTTACTTGCAGGATTGCCCTTTCACAGTTTTGACAGGCAAGGCACTTTCTTGGTGGCATCTGTTGGGTGGTCCAATCCCAGTACTTGGTCCAAAGCCTGCACTCTGCAAAGAATCCAGCACAAGATTCGCGCAGTTTCGGCCACACTCGAGAAAGGAGTGGAAGTATCTCAACTGCTTTAATTAACCATTTAGGTCCACCGTCCACCGTCCTCGCCTTGATAAGCTGAGGCTCAGAACTCTCCACTGTGTTGGCCACGCCTGGCAAAAATCATCAAAAATCGCCTCAGAAGATAGTTCCACGCACTACCCGACCAAAACCCATCAAACCTGGACAGCCCCGCCTTGGCCCAGCGCCGCTGTGCCTCGACTCAATCTACCCATCTGGGTGCCAATTTGGGCACTTGCAGCCTGAAGTCCACCTCCCAAGTCCTTAGACAGCGGATGATTCGAGCCTGACCGGAGCCCAAAACCTGGGACCTGGCCGTGATATTGATAGAAACTTACTCATATGAGAAGACCGACCTGCTTCCTCAATGGGAGGACCTAATGTGGATTTCTTCTCTTACAGGAAGCCTTTCCGTCCTTTGCCGCAGCACAGCAGTCATGAAGACCATTTGGGCCATTGCCTCACAGAAAGCCTTCAGTCGTTGTCACTGGGCGAGTCAAGGCATAGATCAGGAGACGGACCTCAGATTCGGAAGAAATAACCCACATATGCCCGAATTGTACTCACTACATTCTCACAAATGTGGGAACTAATTCAGTTGCCTAACACAAGCCAAGCATCTCCTTGAAAACAGCTCCATGGCAGCTTTGGGCTCCTCGGCCGGCTGCGGCGGTGCCTCCTGGGCCAGCTCTGGCAGTGCTACCTCGGCTTCAGCCACTTCAGCTTCCCCACTCGCATTTCTGGGTGTGAAGAACTCCTCCGCTGTCGGAGCAGGTGCTGTTAGAACCGCCGTCTCGACCACCTCTGGAGCCTCCGCAGGAACCGTCTCGACCACTTCGGGCATCTCTGGAGGCACCTCCAGTGACGCCTCCTTGGTTGACGCAGAAGTCCGACCCGCTTCTTCCCGCTTCAGGGTGCTTGACGGCGAGTCCGTCGGCCCATCTGGCTCGCATTCCATGAACACGACTTCTTGGTCTGCCACTGGCTCTGTCACTGGCTGATCCACTTCCATCTTATGATCCTTTGTACTTGGCATTCCTCCTTCTCGATGCTGTTTGGTGCCAACCGGGCCAACATTTGGAGCCTCAGCATCCTCACACAACCGCTCTGAAGCAGGAGTTGCAATGCTATGTGCGTGTGACGGGCTGGCAGCGCCAACCTCAGGCCACACTATTCCAACTCCTTCGCTCACCTTTTGGGATCCAAAACGGTCAAATCGAAGGCTGTCGGACATTTCTCGCAACCGCAGTCGAATGCAATCCGTCGAGTCCGAGTCAGTCCCGGGCGCATGCCGCTCAAATGCATCCTGCAGAACGCTAACCAAGGCAGCAAAGGCATGAGTTAAACTCGGGGCGAGTCGTACTGCACCCTGCCTGGGTTGGTGCAACACACGCATCACATTCAACAGGCCCAGAACACTCTCGGGATCGCGACATACCCTTCGGTAAACCAAACACTTGTCAACCTCCTTTCCGGAGAGAGTGCCAGCACTGCGCAGCAAGCCATGCCAAATTGTTTGCACCAGTTGTTCGCAAATGCTTCCGATCACCGGCTGTGGCAACATTGGCGCGCCAGAATCAATAATTCGCGTGAGGGTGTGGCAGGCTGAAGAGAAAACCTTCGAAGGAGCCCCTGCATTCGCCTCATTTTCCTTGAGAACGTCGGCTTTTCGCTTGCGTGAGACTGGAAGCCGGACGAGGTGCTCTTCCTTGTGCAATGGGATCCCAGCCTCGTGGTGCATGGCATCCAAGGCATACTGGCAAAGTCTGCTCAACAAAGGCTGACGTAGGAGGATTGCAGGAGAATTGCTCTCAAGCCTCCGAATAAGCTTGAACACTCCAATGCAGTGCTTTCCATCTGTCTTCGGACTCTGGTCTGCGAGCATCTCAAGCCACCTGCGCACTTGTGCTGAAAACACCAAGAGTGATGCACCAGACACATCAACGGCAGCAGAAGCGAGTTCTAGAGCTGCATTCAGGAGTGTGAGTAGCTCAGATTGAACTGCATCGTTGGAAATAATCTTGGAGGCTATCGATGTTTCTCGCAGCAAGGATCCCAAGAGAAGATCAATGGTGCCCATGATCTTCGGCAAAGGCAACAAAACCAATGCATCGTCCACATCTGCACCTTTGCGATCCCGACGAGGGGGTAAGTCTGCGGGCTTGCTTCGGGTGTGGAGCAAAAGAATCTTGAGAAAATCCACAAGCCTCACAGATTGAAGAATGGCACCTGCAGCGGGAGCACCGTTGAGATTTGGTCGAATGGACTGGTCGAAGAGTTGGGATAGCTCGTCACAAGCCAAATGAATGGCTTTTTCTGCGGTGGGTAGCTCGGCATCTGTGCCGCGAGCTAACCAGGTCATTCGGCAAAGTGCCAGACTCGAAGGCTCTGCTATTTGCTTCTTTGGGTGCACAGCTAGCGGCCAAAGCAATGGCCAAAGTGATGCAACTTGTCCACCAAAGCTGTTGCCATCCATGAGCAAGGCACAGCTACCTTCAGCAACAGCCTCCTGCACATGGAAGGATTTGGGGTGAGCTTCTAGGGCTGCCTTAATATGTGGTACCACCTTCCGGGTCCACCCTTGCTTTTCAACACGCTCTTCCTTCGAGACTTGATGCTTCTGGCTCGCCAGGACCAAGGAGCACAGGGCCCGGATGCAAACCGCGGAGACTAAGGGCCAGCTGGAAGCGCTTGAGGCTACGACACCTTTGACGACTGAATCATTCACCAAGGCCACCTCCACATCCTTGGGAAACTGAAGGTCCAGCGCGGCCAAGAGGGCTGATGCAGCTAGCAGTGAACGAGAAGGATTACTCACTTGAGACTGGGACAGGGTGGTGGCAACCGCTTGAGCCAGGGAGGCCAAGCTGGTAGCACTACCAGAGAGTCGGGCTGACAACTCAAGATCCAAGGTCTGGAGAACCAGTGGCAAAGCACTGCTCAAATCTTTTGATGCTAGAAGGTCCTTCCATTTCACACGGGCCATGGCAACGGAGACTCAATGGGTTTGGTCCAATGATGCAGGTGTTAGTATCCTTGGCCGGTCGCTGTGGTCTGCTGTCGGCTTGCACATCTCTGGATTTTTGGTGAGAACTGCACAGGAGAGCGTCAGTTAGTGTGGCCAAGATTCTCGAGCCTGAACCTCGCGAGCCCCATGTTTACCGAGTAACACTTCTCACCGTTCTGTGCCAATCTCAACTGTGACAACACCGCCCGCGCAAGAAACCACGCGCCAAAACAGCCTCTACCGCAACAAATATTCAGCTATGAATCATAGTGGATTTGAGCATAATCAAGAGCCTGCAGCAAGCCTCAGTAGAACTGATCAGGGTGGAAAGAGCTATTCGGGTATGATGCAGTCTGTACAGCCCAAGAACCGGCGCCCAAGCTGTCAGCCACAGGGTTCCCCAGTTGGTTTGGGGCAGCCTTGATAGCTGCAACAACCACAGCTTGTACCTGAGCTATGCCCGAAACAATCCCTCCTCCAGATTCGTCAACAATGGAGTAGAAATTCGAAAGGAAAGAAAGAGCAAAGAGGAATGCTCCTGGAAAGGCGTCGTTGATTCATGGATCTATGTTACACTTATTGACCAGGCCACGATCACATGCAAAAGGTCCGGGATGTAGACTCCACCTGTCTTCTTTCCAACATCATTCACCTGGCACATGCAGCTCTGCCACACACTTCCACAGGTCGGGGACCGCGCAAAGCCTCGACCTTCTTGATGACGAAGTATGGAGGTGGTGACATTTCACAGGAGGGATGCAAACAGAGGCGCGTTACAATATTGAAGAACGTAATCTTGTCCACGATGACCTGGCACAGGCCATTCTCCAGTCGTTCAAAATCAAACTCAGCAGACGTAGCAGGTAAACAGGTTCTACGAACTGAACGCTGGCGGCCACTGCACCAGGACTTGCAAACAAAGGCTGCCTGCTTGGTCATCAGGTAATCGTTGAACCTCACAATCACATCTGAAAGATTGAGAAGGTGCAGCCTCGCACAAGGACTTGAATAGATTCTAGATGCTGACAACTTACTTGCGTCCAGGTGTGGAAACCTTCTTTGCAACTTCTGGTCCGGTTCTAATGTCCTTGATTTGATATCTCCGTACCTGATTAGCTCATATTAGCTCATGGTTTCCTGCTCCCTTGGATGTTGTGCACGGGGACGTGTGATTTAAGAAGTGAAAACAAAGGCATCGTCATCACAATCAGCATGCGTATTCCAGTACAATATATGACTCCAGACTTGGTTCAACTCTCAAAATACTTGCCCCATGACAGTTCTGCATTCAATGGTGTTCTTATCCATGTCCCGTAGTGTCGCCCTGCTTCAGCTATGTGCCGTAAGGACAAGAACGGGGTTCTTAACATCCAAACAGATTTGGGGGAGTCAGAACCTGGTAAAGTTTAGCGTCATTGTATGCCATCCCCTCTTGTTTTCTCCCTTCACTCATCCTTACAAACCGAGTTTCTGCTTGTTGGCCGCGGACTTGGAGGCTGCGCTGATGTGCTCCTCGTGGAGTTGTCGTCAGTGTTCAGAATAAAGCGACACGCAAAATTGATCAAACTCACTCTTTTGTCATTAGTCATCTTTAGTCAGAGCAAGTTGCCATCTGAAGGCTGAAAAGTATATAGCTTGGTTGAGTCAATGTTACAACCATGGAAAGCTCTGGGAAAGAAGACACCGTCCATGATAGTCTTGCCGTTGGAGGTGCCATCAACGCGTTGATCCTGAATCCGAGACATGAAGCACAAATTGGGACGACGGCCGTCCCGCACGTCCGCAGCTCTAGGACTCCCAACCCAATTCAGCCGCACGTCCCGCAGCGTAAGCTCTTCCAAGTACAACGGATTGAAAAACATCGAACGGAAGCCTCAGCACGGATCTCGTACACAGTCACGTCTGAACGGATCCGATCAACCCTGTGGCCCTGTGGCACCATGAATCCCATGATGCTCATGAGAGCGGCCAAAAAAATGCACGTCTAATAGCATCTTGCAGCAAAGAAACTTAAATCGAAGATGCCATTATCTATGATCAGGTATGGGAACTCACCTGGGCATGCGATTTGGGCAAGACACTTTAGTCCAACCCAACGCATACCTGCATACACAAGGACAGGTCCATACGTGGCCCTCCGCCATGTCGCCAAAGCCCGGTGGACTGGCCACCCGGAGGTTCGCCAGGCTCCAGCGTGCGCTCAGTGGGGAGATCTCCACGGAGTCCACCGTGGTGGGCACCCCAAAGGTCTGCAAGCCCGCGGCCTCCATGGCATCGGTCGCCCAGGAGTTCAAAAAGAACGAGGCCCTGGCAGAGTGAGTCACTGAGCTGAGCACCATCGTGACAACTTGGACGCTGAACGGAATTGGGAAGGTTGTCGAACCGCAGCTGACACTACGACACTGGGCGTCGCACACAAAAAGCGGCAGCATTGTGAAACATAAGCAGCAAAGGCAAATTCCGCCCCAGCACCAGGGACTTCTCCACACACTTTCGTCGCCTTGGTTCATTTCAAGCTCGATGGACCCACTTCAGTCCTCCCACATCTGATGTACGGGTGGCAAGCACGTTTTTTCTTCTCATTTGTGACCAGGGTGCCGCTGTAGTTGTCTGAGAAATAGTCCTCGTCGATCCCGTCCTGTGCCAAAGCTGTAAACTTGGCATTGCCGTAGCTTCGCTGCTTCATGACCTGCAGGAAAACCCTACACATTGAGACCGTGGGGAATCGGGTTTCCCCTTCTTTTGCCATCATCTCACAGGCCTCCGCAAGGACCAAACCCTGCTCTCAAAGCTGTGACAGGTAGTAGTTGAATGGGTTTGGGGAATCCTTGGGGTTGGTTGCTAGGCTATGCAAAAGCTATGTGCTGGATTGAACTGAACTGACAGAGCCTGATGCAAGCATGGTTTTGAGTTTTGTCAGCAACACTTAGCTGCTCATGCTGGAGCCCGCAAAGGTACAGTACAGGAATCATCCGAGATGCTCAAGTCCAAACAAATCATGGAAAGGCAAACAATGCACAATTTCATACAGCGCAACTTACCAGCTCTTAAGGCGCAAGAAAGGATGTGTTCAACTCAAAACAATGAGGCTTTTTGCGCAGAAAATGCCCCAATCCTATGGAGTGGGGCCACTCGCGAAAACTGAAATGCTTATATAGCAAAGAAGGTTCTATTCCGCTACGACCAAGGACTTGTTGAACTTGTTCATGACATTGTCAATGGTCACCCCATCCGCAAGATCCTTGACTGCCTCTGTGGTCATGCGCAGGGCCATTTGTGTTTGGTCCATCTCCTCGGCTTGGAATTGCCCCAAGACGTGACTAACCACTGCATTTCGGCCTTCACTCTTGGGAGGCCGAGAAATACCTAAACGCATCCGTAGGAAGTTCTTCAGGCCTTGTGCTTGAATAGACTTCACACCATTCTGCCCTCCTGCAGATCCAGACTTGCGCAAGCGCAGGCGACCTACATCCAAGTCCAAGTCATCATAAATTACCACCAAGTTCTCTTCGCTGATCTGATAGCCTTGCACTAGTTCCAACACCGGACCCCCAGAACTGTTCATCATTGATGCGGGTTTGAACAAGACCAGGTCGGTAAATGCAGTGTCAGCGAGCTGATCTTTCGATTTTCGGGCCAGTTGCAAAACATTGCCTCCAAATGCTCCATGCCAAATGTCATCTTGGAAGAACCACTTTGCTGCAGGATCCTCCAGCAAATGAGACGCAATTGCATCTACCGCAGCGAAGCCGATATTGTGCCTGGTTCCCACATATCGGCTACCCACATTGCCCAAGCCAACCACAGCGAGAACCTTGCGCTTCTCCTCCCCTGGGCCATTGGAATAGGAGGACCGCAGTGGCTGAAGCTTCAGTGTCTGAGCTGTCAGTAGCCGATTCTTTCTTCCGGATCTCCTGGCCATGGCTACTCCAATGGCAGCGCCAGCCGCCCAGCTGCGTCGCATGGGCTCACCCCGAAGAGAAGCTGTGCAGGCTGCGCCCCTGAGCCTGATGGAAGGCTCCAAAGGTGCCGCATGTTTTGGTGCGTTTGCCACCTGTGGCGGAAGCATGGCGGCCGAAGGACCCGCTGTGAAAACCTCAATCAAAGCACAGAAGCACCTCCAGTCGCATCATAATGGGGGAACTTACCCGAAATTCGATGAAAGTCTCTCTGTGAGCAAACTAGCCAGCGGACCACAATGGTGCAAGGCCAGCAACATGAAAGCTGGAACACAGCCAATCCGTGCGTCACTTGTAGTGTGAATGGCTCAAGCAACCTTTAGTTCTGGACAAACCTTTGGTACTTAGAAAGCAGGCCCACAACATTCGGCATGCCAGACTCTCTTCGCTGGCAAGCGTCAAATTCACTGCAGTTCATCCTTGTGCAATGGCTCAGAGGCAGAATTCAATCGACCCAGACAAATGCCATTACATGTTGCTGTAGTATAAGCACACTGCTTGTTAGCGTGCTGTCACACTTCAAAAACACATGCGACAGCATGCGCTATAGCCCTCCAAATGAACATGTGCATGTGGAGAGGGCACACTGCACGCCACGTGACCGCATTTCACGCACGTGTCGTGCAACTGCTATTGAATACGACTTGCAAATTAAGCATGCAAATGCTACTCTTAGGAGTGTGAGGCTACTTGGTGTGACACCACCACGTCAAGTTTGTCTCCCAAGTCTCGCCCCCCTTCCGCTACAATTGCACGTTGTGTCAGCAACATGATGTTTGCGACAATCCCCGAGTTGGTTTGATCTCTGGGCAGCGGTGGCCGGCGTTCATTCACATACTGATCATTGAAGGCCTCGGTCCAATCGTTGCCCGCGATGGTGCGCGTGAGATCCTGGGGTATCGCGCTCTCGCCGTGCATCACACCCAGCAGCCCTGCCAGGGTTGCTGCTTGATTGTCGCAGTCAAAGCCTGCAGCGATGGCAATGCCCACGGTGCGCTTGAAGTCGCCCTCCCCATACAGAAATGCCATAGCCCCGAGCACTCCATTGATTATGGATGAGACGGCACAGGGCCAGGGCATGTCACCGCAATCTTTGGGATAATAAGAGAAGTTGTCCTTGAAATGATAGGGCAGAGACGCAACAGCCTATCTCAATGGTGGCACAACAATCCTTCAACAACCACTTGTGAAAAAAAACATGCAACAACTTGATATACAGTAGAATATGTGCTTGGATGTGTGTGTGTGTATATATTTGTGTTTTTTAATGAAGTACCACCGTACAGTGATAAGTACCACCGTACAGTGATCTCATCGGCAAAGTTTTCTTCGAGCGTCCCGGATCTTTTGCCAAACAGGCCGCCAATCATCTGGGCTCTGCTTGTGCCACTTCCAAACCTTCACCAAAGCCCGCCGAAACGGGCTCCCTTTGGGAACGGCCTGTCGCCCGATGCGATATAAGACACTGACGTCGGTAATGAAAAAGGCCGCACTGTACATGGCGGCATAAAACCTCCAAGCATCAAGCATTGACAGGCAACAACTCGTGAACACTTTGCACATAAAGTAATTTGACATGTTGTTTGGAACCGTGAGCATTGTCATGACCACATACTGGAAATCTGCCGCAACCAAGTCTCTTCTGCAGTTGCTGAGTCTCAGCTTGAGTAGATATCAAACAAGGTACCATTCGATAACATTTCCCTGTGACAAAAAAAACACAAAGAATGACAAATGACAAATAATGCCCCGTACTGGAGTTGTGGGAGCTGTGCTTTGGTAGAATATGCTGCGTCTTTTCCCTGTCTGGTTTCACTGTGAAAATCTGGGGGTGTCGGAAGTGTGGCTCACAGTTCAAAAATTGACACCATGTAACTGTAACTGGTTTCCTTTTGGAATCGGTGCTGAGTCGGACGCACCGTACTCCGGAAGAAACCCATTAGGTTTGTGTTTTTAAGTGCAATTCTTACGCAGAATGTGCATGTCTGTGCGTGACCTGTCGAAGAACCTTCACGCTGCGGCAAAGCATTGGCTGTACCTTTCGCCAAGAAATCCCTGGTGACGTAGATGTGTTCGTGCATGTTGAGGCGGTTGCCATTTTCCACCTGCATCTGTCATTTTTGTTGCTTGAATGATGAGGCCGTGCCACGATGTAGGTTGTGCGCTATTAGTTTGCAACACAAAAAATGCAGGCTAAAACCTTCACCAAGACTAAACCAGGTCTACGCTCATCTGGCCAAAGTCATTGCAGAAACCATCGCCCATAAACTACTTTCTCATGGTATACGAGCGGCGCCTTGTGGGATGTGTCCCCCACGAATCGCTGGTGATCCGTGCACCCCACTCTGCCCGCTCCACGGCCTCAACAAACCGATACGCACACACTAGCAACAAGTGCATTGATATTAGTAACAAGTGCGTTGTCACTAGTAAGAAGAAGTTACTATCGCCAAATCAGAAGAGGTTTCGTAGGCTCCGACTGTCCAACAATCTTTGCAGGTCTTTGCAGCTCAGCTGCCTTCTTCACCATGCCTGGGTAGATGGCACTCCACAACTCATTGACTAACCTTGGGCGCAGCACAAAACATACAGATCTTGCCACTCGGCCAACCTTGAAAACAATACCCCACCCCTGTGACCGTCCGAGTTGCTGAGGATCAATTGTCCACCAATATTGGTTTTCTTTCTTGGAGCCAGTCTCTGGAGGCAACATTCCTCACCATGTGCGTCACAATCAATTATATAACATGTTGAAGAAAAAAGACAATGTCATGCCATCCAAGGGGCCTGTGTCCATGTTTTCTCGAGCAACTCGATTAGCAAACCAAAGGGTGTCTGAGCCATTGACCTTTATGTTGATGTAGGTTTTCCAATACTCAGCGATCTCTGCATATGTCAAGTCCAGCCCATGTTCCATCAAAGCATGAAGCGTGACAAATTCAATGTCTGTGTCATCATCTGTGTACGCACCCTGCAGTTCGGTGAGCCTTTGAGGAATGCAACCACGGCCGTCAGTTTCACAAGGCCCATTCACATTGAGACCAGACGCATTTGCTGTTGCTTCATCATAGTAGGTGTGCGGCTCAATGGGCATAGGTTCATCCCAGTAGGTGAACTCAAAAGGAAGTCCCATGAAATTGCCAACTAGCTGCCCCACCCAATAGCCCATCAACTTGTCATGAAGAACATCCTCGACACATCTGCATGTCAAATTTCTACCCCAAAAAAAATAACAGAACGGGTGTCCCTGAGAGTGCGGTTTTCCATTGATTTGCAGATGTTTTTCTGGAAATTGTGCCACAAATAGAGGCATTTCAGATATGACCAGATGCTTTGAGTATTCATAAATACAAAAGAATACAAGTTTCCAGAGGTTTGGGAATTTTGGGTCGCAAAAAATAAAATCCACAAGTCTTTGCAGAAAGAGTTCTGAAATATTGGGTTTGTTTGTGTCTTTTTTGTTTTTCATCTTTTTTTGGTTCCTCTATCTGGCGGCCCAAGCAGACAGGGGATATCAATAGGAGGACCAGAGGTTTGGGAATCCTTGGTCTCCAAAAAACACAAACAAAAACAAAAAAACAATTTTCCAGAGGTCTTTGAACTTGGGGTTTCTGCAGAAAGCGTTTTGAAATATTGTTTTTTTCGTTGTTTTGTTTTTTTTGTTTTTTGTTTTTTGATTTTTTTGGTTCCTCTATCTGGCGGCCCAAGCAGGCAGGGGACACCAATAGGAGGACCAGAGGTGTGGGAATCTTGGGCCTCCAGAAAACAAAAAAACAAAACAAACAAACAAAAATAAACAATTTTCCAGAGGTCTTTGAACTTGGGGTTTCTGCAGAAAGAGTTCTGAACTATTGTGTTCTTTTGGTGTGTTTTTTGGTTTTTTTTTTCACTTTTGTTTTTTGCTCCTCCATCTTGCGGCCCAAGCAGACAGGGGACATCAATAGGAGGAAACATTACAATACATGAATGGCAAAAATCATATCTAGTAAGCAGAGAATGGTTCTGGTGCAGTATCACAAGAGCAATGGATTTTAACAATGTATAGTTTTCAAGAATGAAAAAGCAGATGAAGAGATGCAAAAGAATTTAGACATATGATATTTAAAAAACAAGATTGAAGGATACAAAAAAACAGGATAAAGTGGCTGATAGAGAAATAGATGAAGAAAACTATATTAATGAACATGGGTGTATGAATCATTTCCATGGCTGTTGCGCCCACTGTGGAATAAAGCTCTATATTGAAATGAAGCAAGGCAAATTATCAACAAACTTCACAGCACAAAGGCTAGACAATACACTGTGCCATTCTGTGGATTATTGCACTCCATACTGTAAGTATTGTAATTGTAGTGCTCACTGATTATTTTTGAAAAAACTTGTTCAAAAATAGTTATATGATGTTATATAATGAGTTCAAAGCAAGAAATATTGAATTGTGCATATTTTGGTAGAGCGGGTTATGGAAGTAAAGCAACAACTTTAAGAGATGCCCCCCCAAAAAAAGGATTCTGAAATAGAAATGTCTGATGTTGAAGTTTTTTTTAAAAAGTTGAGATAAAGAAAAAACAAAGAGGTCAGAACAGTTTTGTAGCACCTCAGAATAATCATACCTACTAACTTGACATATTTTTTATATCACCTGATGACATTGAAGCAACACAAAAATTCAGAGCGGGTTTGGTAATGATAGATGTTCTGAGTATATATGCTGTGGTAGTGCCAATAAAGAGTAACACTTTACTTGACATAATTGCTGGAACTATGGAAGGCTTACAAAAAATGGGATAGAAGTGCAAAATTTTGTAAACTGATGATGAAAGAGGTATAGCAAGTGCTGATTTTAAAGAATATGTGGATGGTGAGGGCATTGAATTATACAGGGCAAGAGGACATCCTGCCTTCGCTGAAAGATTATTAGGACATTTAAAGATAAACTATTTAAAAGAGTTGAAAATGATGAGAAGAAGGGAAAGCAGAATATACAATGGACTGAATACATATTAGAAATAATGCTGACTTATAGTAATAAAGATGTGCATAGTGCAACAGGACTAACATCAAATGAAACAAGGAAAGAGAAGAATGAGTTTAAAGCAAAATTGAATGTATCAGTGAAAGCAAGGAAAGAAAAGATGTATCCAATATTAGGGGTGGGAGACAAGGTAAAAATAACGAGAAAGAAAGCAATTACAGAGAAAGAGAGAACAAGTCATTTTTACAAGGTGAATATACAATAGAAAACATTGCAACAAAATTAGGACAAAAGTGTTATACATTAGAAGGATTTAACCGTCCATTATTAAGGCATGAGTTGTTAAAAATATATTCTACTTAGTAAAAAATACATTTTGAAGGAAATCTATTTAAAAAATATTATGTTATAACACTCACTACTTAAAATCATAAAACAGCGCACTCTGACAAACACCCGGACTCAAAAATAGAAACAAAAACAAACAGTCACATCCCGCTGTTTTCGAAGCAGTGACTTTGCCGCCTTACTGATCTCCCGGGTTGGCGGGTGGGGCCCTGAAGCACCGCGCAGCACGGAGCCAGCCTCGAAAACAAGGTTGAGTTGCGCAGGTCCAGTTTTGCAATGGTTCCTTGTGATCATAAACCACTTTGTCTCGGTTTATGTTTGACACCGTGGCCCCTGAGCTCCAAACAAATGCCGCAGGCAGGAGAAAGAATTGCAACCGGAACATGAAAACAGCTGAGTCCCCTACAACACAAGATCCAAAAAGGCAACTGGCCCACACGCATAAACAAAAACCCCAAAGCGTTCAACAACCCACCCTTTCATGCCAAAAACCGGCATGTTCTAGAACATCGCCGTCCCCCGGGTGATGAATGAGTTTGAACGAGTGTTTGAAGGGGTAATGATGGAGTTGTTGGTTTCATGGAAAATCGAGACTCTAAGTGCAAGTGTTTTAGGAAATGTGCTACAACATTTTATGTAAAGGAAGGCTGCTTATTCGGAAGGATTCAGTTTGGGATCTTTTATGCCTAACAGGAACAAGCACCCAAGACCTTGAAGTCTGGCCGTTGTAAGTAGGCCATTTATATCGGGCTATATTTTTCATACACGTAGCACTGATGGTGGGGACCAGCGTCCCCCAGCTGTTTTTGATGTTTGGTTATTAATTATGGGTCCCCCAGTTATTGAAAGCGAGAATGAAAAAATTCAGCATGTTAAAACATGATTCCACCTAGGTCCAGCCAACTCAATGGGCTACAGTTTAACTTTAAAAAATGAAAAATGTTTAAACAAGTGAGTAAGGTAGTGCGAATACACACATTGTTGGACAAAATTGCTCATAAAACCACAACAACGTACTTGGACTCAATTTTGAAAACACATGGTCCTTTGGTGGGGGTCTTGGTCTACCTTTGGTTTTGATTGGCTGAACTTATGCACAACCTGGGTGTATTAAACCATCGGTTCATGGGAGCCAAACACACGCAATGTAAAATAATACTAAAAATGGATTGCCACAATCTTGGTTGGTTGCCAAACTAAACCCTGGGTAGTCTAGCCCAATCAACCGTGCGAAGCGTGCGAACTCTTTCACAGTTTGGGCCTATGCGTCGGTTCACTTCTCGATTTGTGCTGTGTCATGTGTGCATGACTGACCTATGCGTAGTTTTTGACACGCTCCCTTCACCCACACATTTGCAACACAGTTCGAGCTGTTCCGCCCCAGCAAAATGGGGGCACACGTCGCAAAAGTGGATTTTCATTCCACGGCGACAAACTCTGTAGCACAGGCTCTGTCGCATGAGCTTTAAACTGTGCTCCGAGGCCAGCTGACACTCTTGCAGTGCCATGTCACGCCGTGTGTCGAGCTGGAAGAGCTTATTCTGCATTTCATTGCTCTCAGCTTCGTAGTGCGCAAGGGCCTCAAAGTCAACCCAATTGTCAGCCTGGGTTGCCTTGTCATCCATGCCCTTTTCTTCACTCTTGTACTTCATGATCTTCTTAATCATCTCGTTGAAGGCGACCTTGATGTAGTTCCAAGTCACGTAGGTCACCTTCGGCAAATGGTGCTGCAGCCACTCAATCAAGCTCAAGGCCGCAATCAATGTGCAAAACAGCCAGATCCATTGCCAGCTGTCGCTCCCTTCATTGTTGGCCTCTTCTGTTGATGCACCAGCAACACTTTGCAAATTTGAGAGCAGCCAAATCAGGCCAACATGAAGATTCTTGTTCTTCAGCACCTTCTGTGTTCCCTTTCTCATCCGTTCACGGTGTTCAAGTTCACGATACTCTTCATGCCCAACTCGATCTCCTGTACTGTTCACCATCTTGAGCATGTACAGTAGACCGAACAGTCTGTTCCTTGTCAGGCCTTTGGCGCCAATGGCAGCGGAGTTCAGCTCTGTTGGAATTGGGCTCACTGTAAGGATCTTTTCCTTTTCTTTCTGCTGGATCCATAGTAGGGCGGCATCCAAGCGCCTGACCCGGCCAATGCCTTGCCTCTGGACCATCGAGCGTGCTGCTGAGCTGTCGGACCTGACCCTCATCTTGCAAGGCTCTTCAACCATCTTCATCCACAGGCGCCGAACAAGTAGTCCATCTGAGCGCCCTCCAACCATGGAGATGAACTCAGCCTCACCTGATGATAGTGAGATCGACTTCTGGGACCGAACTCGTGACTCCTGCGATTCGCAAGGAATACCGTAGCAGGAGCCTGGATCAAACTGGCATGCAAGCGCACCTGTTTCTCATGGCGTCATGACAAGTTCCCGTCCCTGGTGGCTCGAACCAGGAACGTCAGTTCAAACACGGTCAAAAGGTGAGAGGCGTCTCATGGTCAACCGTTTCATTTCTAATTCGCACTGGTCTTTGTTTTCTTTGACCTGAGACACCTTTCGCCAACCATCGTTGTTCTCGCCATCTTCTGCGGAGCGAGAATCCACCAACGTGACTTTTGGGCTTTCAGCCCACCGTCTAAAAGAGTCTCTCAGCTTGGCACAGCGCTTCGTCAGCGCATCGGCTGCTTGCTTTTCTGTGGGCACCCGCCTCAAATTGCGGCAGGATTGGCGGAGACCTGCCACATCTATCTCAACCCGCTTTTCAGCAAATGACGTGCTGAGGCGATGGATGGAGTCCCATAGGCTCCTGGCATCTGTGACAGGAATCACTTCGAACAGCGGAGTGCCACATGTTGCACGGTATGCAGGATCCACCATTTCACTGAAGACACAGGCGATGAACTGTCCTGTGTCGTGAGCCCTGTCCAGGGATGCTGCCTCGGCGGCCAGTGTGCTCCGGAGGATCCGCTGATGCCTGAAACTTTTCCAGTCCAGGAGCGAAGCAGGTTGCTCCTCTTCGAGCACGCCCTTGTTGGCGGCAACTACCACGTAGCCTCCCTGACTCTTGCACTTCGGGGCGTTTGCCCATCCAGAGTCGCCGTAGGTGATGAACAGAAGCTCTTCCAACTTCAGGGGGGTCACCTTGAAGAAGGCGTTGGAGGTGGCACGGGCATACTTGATGACTTTATTGACCTCTTGCAAATCGGACACCATGAGTTCGCTGGGTGGCTTCTGGAGAAGTGACACATCGGCTGCAAGGTCGCCGCGAGTTGTGCCAGCTAGCCATTGCAAACTTCCGATTCCAGAGCGAAACTCCGTGATGAGTGAACTCCGATCTGCAGCGAGCTCTTCGGTGATCTTTGTCGTATAGAGCTCGGCCATGTAATGGGTCTGATCGATCGCGTAGCTTCCGTCAGGTTGCCTCTGAATCTTTCGACCCACAAAAATGAAACTGTCATACTCCCATTCAGATCCCCACACAAAAGCCTCTTTGACCTGCTCCAAAAAAACTCAAATCCTTTCACACAACACGTCACTATGTCGTCCACATGGACTCCAAGCAGGGCTGTGACCTGGGCACCGTCATCCTGGATGAAGAGACAGGGATCGAGTGAGTGTTGGCGCCACTTCAGGTCAGTGAGCACTTTGAGCACGTGCAAAAACCAGCGCCTTGGCGCGTTTGCCTGCCCGTACACAGGAGCCGTCAAGCGGTACAGGAGTTGGGGATCTTGCCACTCAGGTATTGCCTCCTTGCTGACGCCGTCATTGGGTGGCTTCATGTAGATGCAGGCAGGACGCTCATCATCTGGCTCGCCCTGCAGAAATGCACTCTTGCAATCAGCGTTGGCTAAACTCACTTGATAGCATGCTGCCCACTGGATGATGAGATGGAGACTGGTCTTAGCAAGAACCGGTGAGTCACGGCTCAGGAGAGGAAGGCGCGGATCTTGAAATCCGAGTACGACCACACGGGCCTTCGCCTTGAAGGATGTGCCGCCGTCTTTTGGCTTCCAGCGATAGCACACTCGGCTCTTCAAGATCAGGTGCTCATCTATCTCGCCCTTCTTTGGCCAAATGGCGACACAGGATGACCATTTGGTCCATTCACTCCATTCGTCCTGCATGGCCTTGATGAAGGCAGGAACGTCTTTCTTGGCAATGGCTCGCCAAGGAACTTCCCGTTTCATGGCCTGCTTGGCGGCTCTGCCTCCGCTTTCATCGGCCTGCAGCTCTTCATCATCGCTGCTGCTATCAGGTCCTGTAATGACCTCATGAGCGGGCTTGTTGCCCTTGTTGAAGTGTGAAGCTGTGGTGTATGCCTGCCAGTGTTGTTGGGCCCATGTTGGCCTGCCGTGCATTGTGTGTTGCTGTGCATCCTGTAGTGCTTGTGGGTCTGCTGATGTGGTGCTGCCATTGCTAATGTCCTGCACGAAGTTCAGATAGGCTTTGCTGAAATCTTCCTGCTGGAAGAGTGGTGGTAACTCTGGAGGGTTGCCATCCCATCCAAGAAGCCAAGTGCAGTGACGGCCGTGTCTGGTGAGCCAACGTTGCTCTCGTCTCGAGAGTCTTGGTGTTTGTTGCCGTGCTGCTTTGGCTTGTTGTTGTGTCAGCGGCAGGAACGACCTCAAGTTGTGAGAGGTCTGGTTTCCGGGTTGGAATACCTGGAGCCACTGCCAGTCATCTGTTTTGACTGCGATGCTCCATGGTGTGCCAGTGCTGTGCCAAACATGTTGCGATAGACCTCGGTGTGTTTGGCCTATGCCCATGAGATGACTCTGTGTGCGATACAGGTCATCGAGCTCGTGGGTGTGCGGCAAGGTGATCTCTTCGAGATCCTTGAGGTGTGCTGGTACCCAGGTCTTGCACTTGGTGTGGTAGTGTGCCAAGCTGGGTGTCGTCTTCATGGCTGTGATCTGCTCAAGTTCGTCGAACCAGCTGTTTACCAGATGTGGTTCCGTGACAAACTCGTGTGAGAGACATCTGACGCAGCATGTTTGTTCTGCTGCGTCGGTTGTGGTGTCTTTGCTTCCGCAGCTGCGACAGTAGGTGACCAGTGCGTTGTTCACTGTGTCCTCTGGCGCTGCTGGTGTCTCTGCATCCGGTGGCGTCGATGCAGATGTGTCATGCGCCGTAGTGCTTGCGGCTGCCGGTGCTGTTGGTTCAGCAGGTGTGGTGAGTGTTTGCTCTGCTGTCGCTGTGGGTGTTTGTTCAGTGGCTGATGGCCTCCTGCGGCTGCCGTCAGCTCTGCCTGGCAAGTTGCTTTCTTCTGCTGTTCGTTTCATGCCTGGTGCGGATTCGATGGAAGGCCGTCGGCCTTTGAACTGGTCTGGACCGAAGCTGGTGACAAGCCGGTCCATGGTGTGCGGTAATGCCTGTTGTGGTTCTGTCA